CAGAGGCTGGATGGACAGGACACCAAGGAGCCCTGGCAGGATGGCAGTCAGAGGCTGGATGGACAGGCCATACTGTTGCTCACTGCACATCACGGCTGTGCTCACTTTCTGCGTGTTTCTTGACTCTGCCAGTCAAGAAGGAGCTCCACCCCCATTCCTGCCAGGGCACTGTGAACAAGAAGCCGTGTAAGACACAGGTACTGCTCACAAGGGCGCTACTCTGCTCAGGGATGCACCGACATTCCTAATGAGGCTGGTGGCATCTACTCCACTGAACTAAGAACAAGACCATATCTGACTTCAGCTAAAACTAGGTACTCACTCTGTGAGCCGGGTGTTGAGCTCCCCAACGTCGTGCACGTCAAACCAGCCTATCTCCTGATTCATTATAGCATGAAAAAACTTCTGTCTAATTTTGTGTATTTGTCTTCCAGCTGCCATGCACCAAAATGAAACCTGGATGTAGGCAACTATGAGCACGCCAGCACCAATGCCCGTGTAATAGTAGGCGTACCTGAAAAACAAGAACACTGTACATGCTGTTTTCTAATCAGTCCTGCTCTTTGAACACAACTGAGTCTTACTCCTTCAGCTATCTGGGTATCCCAACATCCTTAACAAACAAGAAGGGGTTGTGAGGGGCAGAGCTGTAACTGTCAGCATCCGCCTGTGTGTCTGCACTAATATAGAGGAACCACTAACAGTGGTTGATGCACGGGGCAAATCCCAGTTCTTCACTGAACTACCTAGTAAACTCAGGCTGGCTGCTTAACAATCCAAGCTTCAATTATGTATTATGGAGATCAGAGAAGTAGTACAATATGTCTGAAATGTGCCCAGGATAAAATATTATCCATGCTAGGAAAATATACTACCACCAAACCACTCCTCTTTCAAGGCAAATATTCTAAAATGAACCAAAGGATACCATTTGGTGTATTTTTAAATGCTCTTGACTTGCTATCTTTGAATAAAATGCTTATGCCAAGCACTAGATTTAAAAGCAGACACAAAACACACAGCTAGCCTTTTACGTTATGTCCACAATTTCAAGAGCAATCAATCAGAATGTTGCTAAGCAAATCATCCTTCAAGCTGCATCTGATAGACTATACTTATTAAAGAAGATGTCATGGGAACATTAAATTTTAGTTAATTGGATAACTATATAATTAATTACTGTCCAAATAATAATGCAAGAAAGAGTTCAAAGAAAGTTTCATTTAACAAATAGAACTTATACATGATGAAATACTGATGTATTTTACTGTAATACATTTTATCCAATTAAAATAATAGTTTCCCCTGTATTAAAAATATTCCTCATCATAGTAATATTTATAAGTATTTTATTTTCATCTTTCAAAATGTTGTTGTATCTCTACTTCTTCACAACTATTAGAGAAATCATAGTAAAGTACAGGACCATTATCATCTGATTCACCAACACATACCTTTGTACATCTATTACAAGCTAGTCCACAGACTAAATGTCAATATACATAAATCATTAACAAAATAAAAAGTCTGCCCGTGCCATGGAAGGCCAGAGTGACTATATTTTTTCTGGGATATTGTATTTTCCTGTTTAGAATTAGATGTGGGGTTTAAAGAATTTCTGCTGGCTTATCTTACTTACCATTATATCAGGACTGGAAACAGCCAGGAAACAAGCTACTCACTAGGGAACTATTGAAAATAATGACTGTGAATTCAAATATATCTAAAAGGCTCTCCATTCCTTTAATTGCCGTGCATATGATATTTTATCTTTGGAGCTGCATACATGAGTCTAATTGAGGCTCAATAATAACTTAGTACATTTTATGATAGAAACACTTTGCTTAAAAAAATCTATAATAGATCTTCCAGGAAAACTAATAATGATAGTCTCAAAACTTCTAATTATATTATTATAATGTGCACTATGTTACTATAACTACAAGCAGAAAAGTGTAATAAGATAACAATAAGGATAATGTGTAATTACGTGGTCATTTCTTCCTCCAGGTTGCCAGTCATGTTTGAAGTGTATTCAGCTGGAACAACACAAAACAGACATAAACACTTTATGTTTCTTTGGTTTCTTTTCTTATGGTAAAGCTCAACATACATAAATAAATATTTTTATGTGTATTATTTTTCAGGTCTTTCAAGTATATATGTACACACATGCAGAAATATATGCACACAGTTTCTTTTAAAATTGAATCTCGGGCTGGAGAGATGGCTCAGGAGTTAAGAGCACCGACTGCTCTTCCAGAGGTCCTGAGTTCAATTCCCAGCACCCACATGGTGGCTCACAACCATCTGTAATGAGATCTGGCGCCCTCTTCTGTATACATAATAAATAAATAAATCTTTAAAAAAAATTGAATCTCAATGTCAGTTGAGGTTTTTGTTCTGTGACACTTTACTGTTACAAGCTATGATGCACTACACAGTGATATAATATGTAGATATTTATGGCAAATATTTTATAGGAGAAATTACCACAGTTAAGACTGTAGATGAAGACTTCAAACCTTACAATCACTGCAAAAAAAGGCTACCGTATGTTAAAGACTCATAAAGACGGTTTGACAGGCGTGGAAAATAAATAAAAACCACTGTTGGCACACTAAGAGAATGTATTGAAAGTCTGGAGAACATATGGAGAGGGAGTGGGGTATGAGAATGTTTTGTGTGGATGCACAGAGCAGGATATACAGTTAGAAACATAGTCTGAACTAAGCAACTATGGGGCATGAAACAGACTAGCAGACATTCAACAGTTTTGAAGTAAATGGATATAATCACAAGTGTGACCTAGAAAGGTTTAGCATTCAGAGATGTATAATTTTAAGAATAAAATTTAAGAGGCTTCAGCATTTACAAGAACATAGGGAAAGAAGGTCTGAAGGGATGAGAAAAGGGAGGAAGCACAAGACGCGAAGGAGAAGAGTCTGCAGGACCTTCCAGTGGACAGAATATAAGTAGAGAATAAAAATAACATTGATCAAGCCCATAACCACCTGAAAAACGCTAGTTTCAGTAGGAAAGCTCAAAGAGGGGGTCTGGGAAAATTAAGGGAGATTATGAAATCAGTGTTGAACATTTTCTTCTGTGGCAGCTGTGCTATTAAATGGAAGACGTCCAGGAAGTGTCTACAGTGTGCCTGCCCAGTTCTGGAGGGAGCTCAGACATAAATACTCAGGAATCATATACTAGAGAACACAGGTAAATTTGGGAAAGAAAAATGCCATGTCTTCTTAGCTATAAAAACAAGATGTCACTCATAGAAAACAGCAGGCCACGCCTAGACACTCGGGGAACTGAAAGGGTCTGACAGAGAATGAAGGAGCAACTCAAGCTGGGGAGGCAGCAGAGTCAGGCAGAGTCAGGCAGAGGCAGGCAGAGGCAGGCAGAGGCAGGCAGAGGCAGGGGCCTCTCCTGTGCATGCTTAGGAGTTTTCAAATAGAAGAAAATATTTTTTGTGTGCATCCACACAAAACATTCCCATACCCCACTCCCTCTCCATATGTTCTCCAGACTTTCAATACATTCTCTTAGTGTGCCAACGGTGGTTTTTGTTTATTTTCCATGCCTGTCAATCCATCTTTATGAGTCTTTAACATACGGTAGCCTTTTTTTGCAGTGATTGTAAGGTTTGAAGTCTTCATCTACAGTCTTAATTGAGGTAATTTCTCCTATAAAATATTTGCCATAAATATTTTTCAAATAGAAGAAAAGATAATGAATCATTTGGTGAGGATTTTCCACAAAATCAATCTTGGAAAAATCTCTTGTTGTGGATTTTCTATCTTCTTTAGCTAGCCAGGAAATGTTTCTAGGTAATTTGTTAAAAATGTCTATCGCAGCCAAGTCAAGACAAAATTCTCTAACAAAACACGTTTTTTCCCTCTGTGTGATTCTAGGTTGAATACTCCACATCTAAATTCTCCTTATCTAAAATGCTTGGGACTAGAAGTATTTCTGATTTCAGAATTTCTCAGTATGGAATACTTTCACATCCGTTACTAACATAACACCACTAAACTAAACATCTTAAATCCCAAACGAGGCCAGATGTTCAAAGACTGTCAGACTCTGGGACAGTTTTTGAGATGGTCAGTCTGTGTTATTACTTTAATTTTATCAGGAACCAAAAGAATTTACACATATGCTCTTTGGCTATTGTGACTTCTGAGTCTTGAGTCATTTTTATACGACTTGAAAAGAATAAAATTTCAAGGTTGAAATTGGCTCCTTCTCACATCCACAATCATACTATATCTAGTACCAAGGACTATTGCCCAAAACAACAGCAACAATGAAGAATACTTGGGTAGTATCTAAAGTTGATTTTATTTTGGGGTGAGAAAAGCCAGGGATTCTCTAGATTACGAAGGTTCTACCAGCCATTAACTTAGCGAGGACAGTAAGGCTAAAGTTCTCTTGTTTTTAATGAAGTACTTAGACCTTTGACTGCTGTCCTGTCCTGGATGCTGGAGCCTCACCCTCCTGACTTCCACCACTGTTACTCTCCTTCCTGCCTCAGTTCTCCTTCACTGGTTCTTTGTGCATTCCCTCTCTCCTATGTACCAGTGTTTCCCAGAATTCCATGAGCCTTGCCAAGGTGAGCTTAGCCACTGATAGTGTCTGTCATTCCAAAATCATGATTAATGTTCTGGGTCTCCATTGTAATTTTTTTTTTTTTTTGTGTGTGTGTGTGTGTGTGTGTGTGTGTGTGTGTGTGTGTGTTTTATTGTTTGATAATTCCATGCATGGAGATAACATGCTTTTATCACATCTGTTCCATCTCCTCCTCTCAATTCCTTCCCTATTCCTCCACTCTTCCCTCCTAACTTCATGTGTTTCACTAAAACCCACTGAGTCCACTCCGTGATTCCTCTATGAGCATGGATGTCAGACCACCTCCTGGAGCAGAAGTTGCCTCCCATGGCTCGAATTCCTAATGAAAATCAACTGTCCTGACCCAGAAGCTATCAGTTGGGTACAGCTCCTCAGCTAGGGGTGGGACTTCCTGAGCACCTTCCTATCATGTTGGGGTGCTTGAGCATGAAGTCACAGCTGTGCTGTCCTTGACTGTAACAAACACGTCCTAACTGATCTTTCTACTCAGATCACATCATTCATGTTGTCACAACATCTCACCTTTGGAAATAACAATATAATCCATTTCATTTCTAATCTTCCGTGATAATTTGCACTTCAAAAAAATAAAATCTGTGACATTTACCTATATTTACCCCTTTGCAATCTTTCCATAGTATACACAACAGAAGAATCCTCTTGAAATTTTAAACATGATTTTATAGATTTTTTTAACCTCATGTCTTTCTTCTTAATTCTTGCAGCTATGGAACTATGCAATCACTGTTCCAGTAGAGAGCTGCCATCATATAAATAAATAAATAAATAAATAAATAAATAAATAAATAAATAAATAAATAAATAAATAAATAACAGGATTATCTAGGTATCTTCCGGACTTTTGTGTACCCTAACCCTCTTCCTTTAAGGATTGGGGAGAAAAATGACCAAAACCAAATACTGTTTAAATTCATGGGACCAAGCTCCCCTTTTTAAGACTCAGAAATATTTTCTGCATGCCTTAAAGAAGAGATATAGTGAGAACTGGTGACAGTCCAGACACTGGAGAGTCCAGGAAAGAGAAGCCAGTGTCTGGCTCCCTACACAGACCCCAGAGTGAGACCCCAGAAGAGAAACAGATTGCATAGTACATTGAGAAGACATCCGCGGGACCTGGGGAAATTCAGAGGGAGCTGAATGATTCCAGTGCTCCCAGGAGAGGGGAACAAAAAGCTTGAGTCAGCTCCTGCGTAGATAGTGCCAACATCATTTGGCCCTCTCACCTGAGGTTATGTTGTGGGGCTAGAGTGTATCTCAGTGGTAGAGATTGTCCATGCCTGAAGCCTTGGTTCACTCCCCAACACCAGTCTAGTAAACGCATATACGTTGGTCTCTCAGGCAGCAGCCAGTGGAAGGTAAGAGCGAAGACATCTAAGCTGCCCTAAGCAACTGTCACTTGAGATATAGAGGGACTCAGAATTTAAATTGTGTTGGATAAAATAAAAGGGGTTTTTTTTTGTACCCTTGGGTTCTGAAATATCACATTCACTACATAAATTTCTAGCCTGCACTCACAGTACTTCATCATTCCTACCTGGCAGAGCTTTCTCTAATTCCACAGAGCCCACTTCTGAGCACGCTGAGGAATTTGCTGTTCTCTAAGTAGTCATCTAACTTTTCTTCAGCACTTTTTTTTTTTTTTTTTTTTTTGGTTTTTTTCGAGACAGGGTTTCTCTGTGTAGCTTTGCGCCTTTCCTGGAGCTCACTTGGTAGCCCAGGCTGGCCTCGAACTCACAGCGATCCGCCTGGCTCTGCCTCCCGAGTGCTGGGATTAAAGGCGTGCGCCACCACCGCCCGGCTTTCTTCAGCACTTTTTAAATTTTCTTTATTCTTTACTATATTTTCCCTCCAGGAAAACACCCCTCCTTCACAAATAAGCCAAAAAGTGACCGCTTCTCAAATGGCTTTGCCTTGGCATAGTGCCTCACCTTGTCACAGAATTCCATACCAATTGACACATGATTAAAATTGCTAAGTCAATGTAGAATGGAAGTATGACTGCTTGTATCTGTCCCCTCTCATTCCCCTGGGTGTAAACTGAGGAGAACTGGGCTGCATTTTCTCTTTGTATCCCCATGCTCAGCTAGTTGAGTCGCTAGAACCCAGCCTGTTCCAAAGAGTGACAAGTAGTCTCCTAAAGCCACCACCCATGCCAGACAATTTGTCAATAGTCTGTTCCAGAATTCTTCTACTTGCAATGTTAAGTGTCACATAAGAGTAAACATAAAAATAGTTTACTGGATTCTATGAGGTGAGGATGGCCTTCTATAAAATCAAGTAAGACCCCAGAGGAACTCTACTGTACACACAGCATGACTAAATTACACTCTATGCCCTTTAGAAATCACATCATGTTACAATTTTATCCTAATGAAGTACTTCAGAATGTCTAAAAATGTCAATTACTGAGCACTTAGGAAAAGTGTAAGTAAAAATTATGTGACACGAATGTATGTATTTAGGAATAGGTATGTCCATATGTAACAATTTATGAGAAAGAGACCATGGATTTGAAAGAGAACAAGGAGGGGTATATGGGAAGGTTTAGAGAGGGCAGAGGAAAGGGGGAAATGGTATAATTATATTATAATCTCAAAAAATAAAAGAAATAATTTAAAAATTATAAAGAACTAAAAAGGAGGGGGAAAGTATGTGACATGAATACATTGGTAATTTTCCTTATTGATAAATCGAGGTTATATTAGAGGTATTATTCTTTTCTCTTTTTGTAACTAAAAACTTCAATTTTTTAATAATGAAACAATTCTACTATTCAAGAAGCAATCTCGGAAGAGAAAACGCTTTCCTATAAACATAAATTAAAAGAGTATTTTTCAAGCCACCTTTCACATGGCCTCCTTTCTTGGCACTAGGCACACCTAGAAGGAGAACCACCCTTTCTAATCCCATGGGTTACTGTTCTAGCAGGGAATTCTTCCTCTTCTAAGTCCCAAACTTCCTGAGATAAGGCGATATTGCCGAAACTCTAGCCAAGTTTTCCCATGAACTTCCTTTTTATCCCTTATGCTTTTTTCCCCACCCAAGAAGTCCCAATAGACAAGCAGAGAAACCAATGAACATCACAATTTCCAAATAATAAGTTCTGGTAAGCACAGTGGTGATGCTAACTATAGCACCACTGTGAGAAGCACAGACATGGACAGACAGGTAAGGGCTGAACCACTCCAAGTCAGGAAGGAGAAGAAGTCCAAGAGCAATGAGATTTATGGGACAGATGGGGATGAACAGAGCATGTCACACAAGCCACTGAATACAAACTGAACTTATTCCATGTTATGGGAAGCCACTGGGACAGAAGTGAACTGATTTCTGTTTTTGAAAAACTCACTGTGACAATATGTGGAGAATGGACAGAAGCAGGCAGGAATGAGAACATAGCAAGGAGTCAGGGAGATAGAGCTGTGTATGAGGAAGACTTCAGACACAGGTTGTAGCGGGGCACAGACGGCTGGACTCTAAAAGGGAGCTCATCGCTGTGGAAGGTGGTAGAAGAACAGGCTAGCAGCAGAGACCCCAGCTCTGGATTCCCTTCTACTGCTGTCGCTTGGGGCTGTCTCTCTGTGAGATCTTCCTGGTGAGCTTTCAAGACAGATGTTGCTTACCTAGAGGGCTTGCCAACTGAAAAGGCATAGTAAGCCATAGACATGTATGATCCACAAAGCCCCTTCTAGCTTTAAAACGTTATGATTCCAGATTTCAGAATGCTTTGTCAACTACAAGCAGGAGAAACTGGACCTTTTGCCTAGATGATCCACCTCCCAACATCTGTCCAGATGGGAACCTGCCCTCAGCAGCCTAACTGCCATGACACAGATGATCAAGCAGCCATAATCTCCCACCTCTGCTCCTTTTCCCTCTAAAGAGCTGTGCCTGCTGAGTGGCCTACCCACCATTCTGTCTCGGCTACTTTCATAATGGTGCTGATCCTACTACCAAGACCTAACCACCTAAGCCACTGCCTCCCAACACCATTACAGCAAGAGTTAGGATGTCCCACGTGGTTTTGAAGGACATAAGCACTCAGGCCACACTTCCACATGCCCTCTTGCCACTGTAAGTTCCACTTTTCCTCAGCTCCAAAGCAACAGATTCCAATAAACTCAAATCTTTGAAACTGTGGGCAGATATCAATCGGACTGGCTGTCCTTATATATAAGTGGCTTCGGTAAAATTAGTAATAGGTAGTACTCCTGTCAGAAAAAGGCAATTGTGTCCTTAAAGAGGTCAGAAACAATTCATGTCTAGGTGATGGAGAAATAAAACAATATGAGACATGATAGAGTTGGAAAAAAAGACCACTAGACAAAAATATGACAAAACAAAAAATATCCCTCAAAAAGTCTCAGGCTTTGTTGGTGGAAATGAATGGGTCATAACAGCCCTAACCTGAGCTGTGGGCTAATCTACAGATGGACTCACAGTTTGAAGACATTATGGGGAGAGAATGGAAACATTTAGGGTTGGGGACTAGTGGAAAGAAACTGGAAACAAAGTGCCTGGGAGCATGCCTTTGAAGAGTACCTTGGCCTTGGGCTGGCTCTGGTCCCCTGCCCGCCACCCCGCAATGTCCCTCAATCCGCTACTTCCTGGCCACTAGGAGGTGAACAGCCCATCTTCCACATGCCCTCTTGCCACTGTAAGTTCCACTTTTCCTCAGCTCCAAAGCAACGGATTCCAATAAACTCAGAATCAAATCTTTGAAACTGGGCAGATGTCAATGGGACAATTCCTTCCTTTGTTTAAGGTCTTTCTTTCAGGTGTTTGTCACAGTAAAGGAAAACAGATGAGTGTGACATGCTTTCTTGATTGTTGCTCATCAGAAGTCAGTTATGCCAACTTCAGGAAGTTACTTTATAGTCTCTTCCCAAACTAGGTCAAATTGTAACACGTGGATAATTTGTTGATTGACAGCTAAGTTCAACCGCTGCCCCCTCACACTGTATGCACAGCATGTCCAGTTAACAGCTCTCACACTGGTAGAGCGGGGTTTGGGTTTAGACTTCACCAAACACTGGGGAAGGTTGGAATGACATAAATGCATGCATTATGTCTGCTGAACTGCTAAAGAGCCCGAAAGATGAGATTATTCCACTAGAAGCCAACGAGATCGACTACTCCGCAGGTTGCTGCAAAGTATCGGATACACAGGATCTAAAGAATTCAGAAGGCATTGAGGACTTTCCTTGGGAGAATGTTACAAAGGAGATATGACAGTTCAGTGTTTGCACAGTATATTTTTTGCAAGCTCTTTGAATATCATGGGGGCAGGGAAAAAGCATATAAATTTTACATTACTCAAAAATACTAAAAAATTTCCAGCTCAAATCATTATTTGTATTAACAGAATTGAAGTAGCCTTATCTCAGGTAAACTATAGGTTCTTTAGGACTACAAATAAGCAGCTTCCAGGACCCCAGACAACTACCAGAGATTTCATTAATGTCCCTATTAATAGTTACATGACCATTCCCAGGGAAAAGAATCCACGGCATGCACCAGAGACTTAAAGTTCAGATGTTGACATGCAAATCTCCGGGTTTAAGCCCTAGCATCAAATAAAGAGAAAATTCCAAACATTAAAGCATCTTTGTTAGCCAAGAAATATCAATATATTTTCAAGGTATTTCGTTTTGGGGTAGTACTAGGGACTGAATGCAGGATTTCATGCATGCTAGGTAGTACCACTGAGCTACAGCCTCATACCTTCCTAGTATTTTCCCCACCTGTATGGAAACTGAGCTGTAAACCTTGGAGTAGTTCAGTTTAGTAAGATTTCAATCTCTGCTTGGCTGAAATGGCCTAAAGATTGAATCTTAGAGCTATTAATCTGTTGTTCCCCAATCAAGTGTGTAACATGCAGATTCTTTCAACTGCCCATTCACCTTCCTGCTCTCATCTTGTTTCTTATGAAGCAAATTTCTTACTTTCAAAATCATGAGAAAATTGAAGGCAAGACCTCTTCACCACATTTAGACTTTTTGTGGTTTCAGTTTCCTGCAATCGACCATGAGACTGTAAGATCTCACGTCATCACAAGAGGAAGAGGGGGGTGTGAGAACAACACTGTAAGGTATTTTGAGAAAGAGAGAGAGACCACATTCACATAGCTTTGAATGTAGTATATTGTTATATTTATTCTATTATTTTTGTCATTAATCTCATATTGAACTTAATTTACAAAATAAACTTTATCATGGGTGTGTATGCATATGAAAATATAATATATGCAGATTTCTGTGCTATCTATCCATTGGTGTGGACCGAATGGTAACTGTTGCTGCTTGACAAAGTGCCGGCATTTCAACCTTGCAGACCACACTTCTCCAGTACCTTTTAACTTTCATTTTTAATGTTTCTCACTTATCAATGCCTTTCCCTTTGGGAAATTTTGTTTGGGCTTTGGTAAAGGATGGAAATGTCTACAATGGTAGCCTCTCTAAACAAAACAATTCTTTGGCGGAAAAAAAAAAAATCCTTGCCAATTTGGAACCAGGAATCCCATGTACCCTTCTCATTACACCAAGAACAAGAAAGTTAAAGATTTACTAGGCACACCTGATCCCAAGGACAAAATGCCTACAATTCAGATTCAGAACCTGAGGCCAGTAAGGGCGGGAACTCCCTCACAGTCCACCTCCTCAGGCACTCGCTTTTGGACTCTGACACTCAGTATTCTCTACCTCTTCCTGTTTTTGAGGATAACAGTTGCACCTATCTTATGCAAACATTTCCTGAGCACCGGCTCTCACCCTTTCTCACAAATCCTTTCTAACAAACCTCTTTATATTTTTCTTGGTCCCATTTCTCCATTCCTGGATTTGCTCCCAGAAAGCCTAACCTGTAAGAATATACAAAACACAATTGCTGGTATTTGCTCCTGCTAAAATCTACTGGACTCCCACCTTTCTCACCTTATTTAAAATGATTATGTTCTTCTAGTTTCTCAGGCTAAATGCTTTAGAATCATTCTAGAATTTTCTCTTTCACCCACAGTCAATCTGTCACAGCCTCACTAATGATCCCAGCTTTCCACTCAAAGACCTGATGAGATTTGTGTACTTATCCCTGAGGCTTTATGGCATATTTCTTACTTCAGAGGTCCCCCTCTATTTCTACATATCTCTGTCAGCGCTTTCACTGGTTACTCTAATGCTTGTATCATCTTCTGAAGCTCGCTACAGGGATGAGCTGGAGTCCACACACTCTACCACCTGGACCACTAAACACAGTAGTGTACCCTTATTAAGACCCCACAAAGAATTACTTTAGGTTAGTGATTTTTGCAAGTTTCCAACACAATCAGTACCACAAACAATACTTACTTAGATTAGTAGTGTTTGGCTGGAAGTTTCCTACATTTGCAAAGCTGTCTGTCATGTCTCCAAACACCAGCATCATAAGTGGGAGTGCAATTCCATGGATAATAGCAGCAAGAGTTCCCACCAGCATGTACAACTTGTCCAGCCAACCTGCATAGCGAAACTACAAAGAGAAGAAAATAGGAGCATGGGCATGGGTAATTTCTATGGATGTTTCCCTCTACCTCCAAAGCCTCTTTCAAATCCAAACTTTTTTTCAGACTACTGGCTACTAGTCTAAGCTACCCTCTTGACTTTGCCTCTTTGCCCTCTACCCTCTTACTGCAATAGCTTGATTAAAAAGAAAATGGGCATTTGATTCTTTATTGAGTTCTGTCTTAATTCTTCATATTTGAATAGTCTGTCTTCTCCTTTTATATGGGAGAACTATAAAAGTTGCTCAAGAGATGATATCAGAGATATCAGGACTATTGCTTCAGTTTCTAAGACTAGAGACCACTTTTTAGTTCATGGAAAAAGTCCTGAATGCCAAAGGCCTCTTGAAGACACCAGAGAGGAAACATTTTACTAATTTTTAAAATTGTTTTTGATTAAAGAGCTGTTGCAAAATGGTAGTATTATATCTGTAAAGTAGCGTCAACATATTTGAAAAAGAAAAATAATTACTTGGATGAATATTTTCCAAGAACATTTTTCTCTAAGAGGTAAAATATGGTCATACTGAATGACTACTACAGATTAGTACCATTTCTCTAATCATAGGCAAGATACAAGAAGAAAGCAAGGCTTATCTGAACCCAAAAAGTGATGGAGGATAAATATCATAAGAAAGGGTAAGTAATCCCAGGGTCTGTCTAGGGGCAGAATGACTCAAGAAACTGGTGAAGGACTGAAAGAAAAAAAGTACGAGAAAATGAAAATAGAAAGTACCAAGCTAACTGCAAGAGTCTGTAGATAATCTCTAAGAAAAAAGGTTGTCACATAATGTACCATTTATCTCCAGGTAGCATGTCTGTAATCATGGGAGGGAAGCCAGGTAAAAAGTCTAAGCAGGAAATGAAAGCACGAAGAGCAGGGATCAGGCAATAGCACCAAACTGCCCGTGAGAGTCCTCAGGACAGACTCGGAAGCAGGGGGTTGTCATGTGTAGCCATGTAGCTATAGTCAAGAGCTTTCTAATACAGGGAGGAAATCAGGTAAAAATTCTTAGCTCTAGGCACAAAATGGGAACCAAAGTAAAGACCAGGGATCTGGGAACACAAAAACACGGAAACGGAAACCAAGACTTTCAAGCTCATATCTACTTCAGAATGAGACAGAACTAACCCTAAGGATGCTCAGCAATGGTGAAGTGGAGTGAAGAGCTGAAAGGAAAGACAAGAAGAAAGAGCTCTGGCCAGCACTGAAAGGTACTGCACATAGCAGGAGCCGAAACAATTAGTGAAAGCTAAGGCTTGGGATAAAAAATATATATATTAAATATTATAGTACTTAGGTATTTGTCTTTAAGTTATTTCTTGCTACTAAAAAGGTAACCAAATGAGATTAAGTGTGGGTTAATGGCATAATTTTCAAAACATCATCTTCTTTACAAATTAAACCCCGAAGGAAAGGATAGTGACTGGGCATATTTCATGTTTGGTTGAACTACAGGCTAAATGTTGCCAGTGCATTCCTTATTTTGTGCAAGCAACTGTCTTCTCCCTTAAAAAAATATAGAGGAATAAATAGGTAGGAATTATCTTTTTTGTTTGTTTGTTTTTTTCCAGACAGGGTTTCTGTGTATAATGCTGACTGTCCCAGAACTCGCTTTGTAGACCAGGCTGGCCTCAAACTCACAGAGATCCATCCGCCTGCCTCTGCCTCCTGAGTGCTGGGATTAAATGCATACACTACCACTGCCTAGCAGAAATTATCTTTTTTAAAAGAATCTATTAAATACATCAAATATCATATTCTTCAGAATAAGAAGATAAGATAATTGATAGGCAAAATTTCACTCATCATCACCATCATCAATATTCCACCTCTAGAACTTCTCATTGGCCAAAATCAAAACAAGGGAAGTGATGTGTGCAAATTCCTGACTATTTCACTCAATGATAGATGTGAGCTGCAGAGTGTATACCAAAGATACCTAACTTCAGAAAGCTTGAAGGGCAGGAGGAAGACAGAGCAAACAGTACAGGCAGTGTGCATTCCGCATGCTTTGGCAGCAAGTGTAAAGAGCAGACATGAAATTGAGCCAATGATCATTCTCTCCCCTGTGGAAATCCATCAGAGTAAATGGCACTCCCTCCTAGTTTTGAAGGGAAAGCAGATGTTTAGAAGCAAGATGGAAGGCATTCTAGCCGGAAAGAAAGGCAAACAGAAGCAAGATAGATTCAGATGGGCTTTGAGGAGATTAAAGTTGCTCAAGTTAGAGATCTCATTTATGAAAGCACAAAAATAAAGCATATTAACTAAGAGGGACGCTTCAAGGAGATGGGGGACCTGGAAGAGTCAAGTGTTTGAAAGGATGGAGCGTAGGAAAGTCTTGAGTGCTGGTGGCCTTCTTATCCAGGATGAAAAGCCCTCACCACCTGAGGCAGTCATCACAGGAGTGGATGAGGTCATGTAGAAAGAGAAAGGGATGCATGGAGTAATGACAAACCTGGACACACAGCTACAGAAACAGAGTGCTAACTTCTCCTGACCTTGGGATAAAAAGAGGAAGAGGAAAGGTAACTAGTAGATTGTGATGCAATGTCAGTGGGACTACTTCAGGATGCCCTGAGTAAGCCAGACAAAGAGACAAGAGGCAAAAACATAGGAAGTAAACAGGGATAATAACCTACAAAATACAGGAAGTAATTATTGCAGTAACCTGGGAAAGGGTAGCATTATAGAAATCAAACTTAGTAAGAGAAGCAAGATATTCCCTGGATGCAGTAGGATTCCTTGTCATTGCTAGAGGAGGGTACACGAGCTGTCATTATCACAGTAAACAAGTGATCAAAGAACAACATAAACAGTGGGGAATACCTTGATATTGATGTTTTTAGAGTCATGAGTCATAAAAGATACAAAATTCCCCTATTTAATTTTTTTGCTAAAAATGTTTCATATGAATGCAATAGAACAGTCAGGTGTAATTTCTATATAGGAAAAGCCAAGCATGGAAAATAAAATCCAATGATGTCACAGGGGAGTCACATGGCTAGACTAGCAGGTAGGACATTCTACAGGCCACTGGCGCATCCCTTTCAGGCCACTCTAAAGAGAAAACAACAAAGGATGTCATCAAATGTCTTATTTTGAACAAATTAACTGTAAAACACAATTATTAGATAATCTGGAAAATTGAACATAAAAATTATCATATTAAGAAAGTATTGCTCATTTTGCTAAATAGGATAAATATATTATATTTTCAGGAAAAGTTTTACAGAAAACCCTTTGAAATGAATAAAATGAGAAGGCTATATATGAAAAAGCATGAAATTTGTGGCTGTAACTGAAACATGACATGGAGATATGCTAATAATTATTAGAAATACATGGTGGGTGTATGAATCTGAAGTTTCCCATTCTATCCTTTTATATTTGAAATTTTACAAAGTAAAACTTGGGAAGAGAAGATTGTTTCCAAAGCATGGAGAGGTATTTCTCTTCGTCTCAGACTGGAATAAATGAGCCAAGCATGAGTTCTAGCAACAGACATAACAAAGTGAGTCTTATTTCTTTGTGACTTCTGGAAGAAAGAATGAGATATGAGGAAAGTAGCAACAAAATGTTGAGTAGGATGAAAGCCTCCATCAAATGTCTCAACTTTACAATTGATGAGGAAAGACACGGGGGCTATAGGTGAAGGCCTTTAAAATAAAAAGGAACTGAAAAATATTTGGCTAGAGCCTGGCAGAAAGGACAGAGAAAGTAAGCCACAAACACAAAACAAAGGTGACTGGTATTGAAGGCTGAAGGCGAGTCATCCCAGGAAAAAGGTGGATGCCACAGGCAGGAAAGGAATTGAGATAATGTTCACAGCATGATTAGCAATGTGACCTTACTATGACCCCTGGGTTAGAGAGGGCGATCACTGGGTTCATTCACTCATTCAACATTTTAAATTTCTTTAACAAGATACACTAAGATTCACATTTGGTTTTAAGTACTGGCAATAACAGTGGACAACACAGGTTACCCGTCCTTAAAAGGCATACAGTGTGTGTAGTTGCTAATTAGAAATAGATACGGTCACTATCCACTCAGTATTTGGGTACCTATTAGGTCTCTAGGCACTGTTCTAGACCTCTGAGGAGCAAAAGGGAACAAGATGTAAAAACAGCCCACTCTCATGAGCACACATTCAGGAAGAAGAAATGTCAGAAGTGAGGAAGTGGTTAAGCATTTAGAGGCTGTAACTTCAGACTGAGACGGTGACTGACAGGTCAGTGAGTTTAGACAGGTCAGGGAACAGCCACAGGAAGGATGCAGTTTATTATGTGGGGATCTCTAAAAAAAGCATTCAGATCAGAAGAGCACATGCAAAGATGCTTGGGTAGATGTGAGGCTGGTATACATTAAGGAGCAAACACTACAGTAAGAACAGAGAGGGCGGAAGATCTTTCTGTGGTCAATTCATAAATAAGACAGGCCATACCATAAGTGGTTTGTGTATTAGAAAATGGCTTGTTTTTTTCACTCCAAAATTTCCCTTAAGGAAAAATGAAAAAGCATTACAACCCTTAAGCAGAGAAGAAAGGCTGTAGAACATTTGAAGGGAGGGACTGATGTTCCTATATGACTCTGACTGGTAGGTGTTGAGAAGAACCAAAGTGGAGCACAGATGCCAGAAGAAAGAGTGGCTGAGAGAATAAAGCCTTGCTAAGGCTGAGAGACAACTGAATGTCACTCCTAACATGTGTGGAGTCTAACCCTGGGACCCTGTCTGTGAAGATGCTTTCTTGCTTTGTCTGATGTGATAAAAGAGACCGAAGGTGTTATGGATTTGGGAAGATTATCCTGGGGCATCCAGGTAGACCCACTGTGATCACAGAGGTGCTTCCAAGGCAGGAGGGTGTTCAGAGGCTAGAGGGACACAAGGAGGGGACACAGAGATGTAATTGCACCCTAGAAGTTCAAAATGGGAAGGAAGCACATTCCAACGAACCTCCAGAAGGAGTGCAAGCCTCCTGATGCCTTGATTTTAGTTCACTCCAGAACCGGAAAAGCATACATTTGTTTGTCTTCAACCTATCTAGTGGTATTTTTCTGTGGTAGCACTAAAAATGAATCGCAGTGCCAAAAGAGAGACAATAAAGGAGCAAGCTCTCCTTAGAAAGAATCAGAAACTGTAATTGAAACTGGTATATTTGAGCTTATGACATCATAGACAGATGCTGTCTTAGGAGGAGAGGACCAAGGTCCTCACCCTAGAGTAATTGACAAAGGAAGAGGATGGGTGGGGATGTTGTAACTGAGTCAAAGACTGTCGAGTCTGGGCTTACAAGGTTACTAAAATAGAAGCATGACTGGAGCGTAGGTAAACGAAGCTGGCACAAGAGGAATGTTATCAGTTGGTAAGGAACATCATTGTAAGGGCAGAGAAGACCGAGAAATGAGGAAGAAGGTTCTGTTTGCGGATCAAAACATAATTTGAAAATGTCTGTGTAGAAGCAGATGAATGCCATCATCGTCAGTGATTCAGGGGATAAAGGATTGAGAAACTCCTAGAAGGCAAAGGTGACTCCAGAAGCCAGAGGTGGGAAGAAACCACACCTTATCATCACAGATACAATTTGGTGGCCAGTGACAAGGGCAGCTTCGAGGTCAGACAGAGTTTTCAAATGTCCACTAAATTAAGTAAGTGGTAGGAGTGGAAACCAAATCCCAAAACATTCGAGCAACAAAGATGGAAGAGACTTGACAATGTAGCAAATTCCACTCACACAGATGGGGATATGGAAGAAAGAGGACGATAATAGCTATGCCGGGCCTAGAAAGGGCAAATAGGTGAGAACCAAAGTCCAAGTAAGTGATGTGTTGTAAGAACCGGGCCGGGTGTGGTGGCTAATCACATTACCTCTCCTAAGGAAGGAGGAATATGAGTTAGTTTCAAGCCAGCCTGGACTACACAGTAAGACTTTGCCTAAACAAACACGCCACATAAACTGGGCATCAGTGTTTTAACATGAAAAACAGAGTGAACAGATCCAAATTCAGGTAGGTTTGCAAGATGGTTAATGTTATAAAGGTCAAGGAGTGGTTATTCATACAACAATAAAAGTCACAGAGTGAGTAAGAGGGTCAGGATTGGAAAGGAAGATGCTAAGCCAGGCGGCAAAGTCTTCAATGACCAGATGGTCATAAGATAACAGCATTAACAAAGAACTCTTCAGCTTCAGGGAGGTTACATTTTAACCAATCATAAGCTGTCATAAACAATTACAGTTTTTAAAAGTAATCATCTGCTTGCATAACTGGACAAAAGTTGGGCCTTCCATTATAACAGGTGACATTGACTTACAGTTCAGTACTGAACTTTCTTTCTTTCTTTCTTTCTTTCTTTCTTTCTTTCTTTCTTTCTTTCTTTCTTTCTTTCTTTCTTTCTTTTTTCTTTTTTGTTTTGTTTTGTTATTTTGAGACAGGGTTCTCTGTGTAGCTTTGTGCCTTTCCTGGAACTCACTCTGTAGCCCAGGCTGGCCTCTAACTCACAGAGATCCGCCTGCCTCTGCCTCCCGAGTGCTGGGATTAAAGGCGTGTGTCACCACTGCCCTGCAGTACTTAATTTCTTAAGTGTGCATTTTGCCCAGCAATGCATAAGGATAAGAGGAGCTTGACCAGCACAAACTGAAACCGAACAATGCATTGTCTGTTCAGAACAATGGGGACTAATATGATGCACAACCTAGCTTTGAGTTAAATCTGCCACAAATGATAAGAGAGTGTGTAATCTTTGAGGAGTTTGCTTTGTAGGAACTGCAGACAACTTAGGTTTTTCCTGCTTTTACTTACTTCCACTTTCCCAGTTTCCCCACTTGATTTCAAGTCTATTCTACATTTGTGTTTCTGAAAAGACTAAAATGAAGCCTGACATAAAGTGAAACCTAGTATAAATTTTGAGTGAGTTGTTAAACTCTGTAACTATTCTCTCCAGACTTGTAAGTTCTCCTAGTAAACATAAATTAACTCTGGGATCAGAAAGAGTCCAGAAATACTTAGAAAAAACTACTTGGATGATTGGTGCTTGGCTGGCATCTAGAACGTGGATCTGGGAAGGTTCTATCATTGAAATTGATAACTGTGGCCAATTTGCAGTGTGGATTACGCTGAATGATTTGCTTTCCTTATGAATCTACAATTTTGGTACCCACTAGATAGAGGGTTCCTTAATAGTCAGCCCCCAGTGAAAACCTTGGCACTGTTGCTGTTACAGCTGACAACTCCTTGCTGGGAAAAGGGTGTTTTGAGTAGGTGACTCTGGGAGCTTGTGTCTGATTTCTTCTGAACCTCACTCCATGTGACTTTTGCCATTACTGTTTTGCTTTGCATTCTTTTGCTATAATAAATCTTAACTGCAGCTTTTCAGAGAGGTAACATCATAGCCAATGAGGTTTATCTAAGATGGGATTATTGCTGAGTACATTACTCAATCTTAGCTGTGAGTATGGCAACATCCTGAGTTCTGAGTCACCCTAATAAGTCATTAGACTCAGAGTCCTTTGAAATCCCCAACACACACGCTTTACTTTTACCTAGAAACTACTACCAAGCATTGCAGTAGTATTAGAATTTTACCCTAAACGCTTCTGATTAGATCCCTATGTTTGTAGGTTTTATATAGAGGTTAGGGTTCAGTTTTCTACATCAGTTCTTTGGGACAAGAGAAGGATGACTGTATTGGCTAATTTTGGTTGTCAGCCTGACTTATCCAAGAAGAGGGAACTGAACTGTAGAACTGCCTCAGTGGGACTGGCCTATGAACATATCTGTAGAGCAACTTCATGATGGCTAATTGATATAGGAAGACTCAGCCCACTGTGAGAGGCACCATCCCTAGACAGGTGGGTCTAGGCTGTAAGAAAAGTATATGAACTAGGAGCAAGCCAGTAAGCAACTTTCCAACACGGCTTCTGCTTCACGCTCCTACTATGTCTTCCCTCAGTGATGGACTATAAGCTAAAATATGAAATAAATCTTTTCTTCCACATGTTGCTTTTCATCAGTGTAACTAGAACAACACCTAAGAAGTACAGCACTTCTTGAAAAGGCTTAGAGTACCTTCCTTTTATCCTCACCTTACTAGGTATTTGGGGCCAAGAAAATGCTTAAGGATTAAATGAGTTTGTCTGGGAAGTAATTATAACAATGTCTAGTACATATTGCTATACATGTGAGATTATTGCTACTTCACATTCAAACTCTATATTTGTGTGTCTGTATGTGTATCTGTCTCTGTCTGTCTGTCTCTCTCTCTCTCTCAGTGTGGATTGAATTCAATATTGATAGCACTAACTCTATATAGTAGTTAGGGTACATTTTCTCAAATATAAAACTCTCAAGTCTTTAAGAAATTATAACCTATAAACCACAAGAAGTAAACTACGGGGATAAAGACAGAACTTCCTGGTAGTGTATGCTCAGCATGCACAAAAGGCCTGAGTGGATCCCTGCCACCAGACAGAACAAATAGGACAACAAAAACCTAAACAAATAGAGAGAACTATGTTGATATCAAAGTAACTACATAAATTAAATTTCAAGAATGAATCCAACTTTAACATATTTCCTCCTATGCAAAAGTATAAGAATGAAATCTTTAAAAAGAAGAATAAAATCTAAACCAAAAAAAGCTGTCATTTGGTCATTCAAGAATTATTTCTGTGATGACCTGTGCTGTATTCTCCCAATCTCAGCACTCTGGAGGTAGAGACAGGAGGATCATGAATTCAAGGTCATCCTCAACTACACAGGGAGTTAGAAACCGAGATACTTGAGCTCTTATCTCAAATTAAAACCACCAGCAATAATAATGACAAGGGCAAAAAGAGGGGTGGAGATGTGTAATAAAAGGAGCCATGGCAAGAAACATGTAAGCAGCGGAAGATGTCGATGGTCTAAGATAACCAGAGTCTTCAGTGCTAGGTGTGAAACTGTTTTCCTACCTAAATCTACTTTATATTAAATATTCAAAGATGCACTTTACATGGTACTCTTCCAGTCTTCCACACTCCCTGACAGGTCTAGTGTGGAAAGGGTGAGTTATAAGGAGAGTGCTGCAAGACTCAGTTGGTTGAGCATTCTCCCAGGTTCTGGTGTCTGGAACAGTTCATGTAAATGTGCATGGACCCTTAGAAAAAAGGAAGTGTTCAAGGAAACAGAGATCATTTAAAACAAGCCACACCTATAAAATTCCTGTCATATTCCAAGTGAGTTTTTTAAAATGTTTTCAAACAACTAGTATGCAACCAGAAAACTAAATAGTTACATAATTTTTCAAGTTTTCCATTTTCAACTATTCAGCACAGAAGAATAATGGCATATGCTAAATCAGAGTAATAAATAAACCATTGCTACCTTTTATTATTATATGTATTTGGGACTTTGACTCTGCCAGGATATAAGGGACATTAAAAATGTCATGCAATGTACCCGTGTCTCATATCCAGATGGCAGAGATCATGAGGAGGAAAGCTGTCTATGGAGGCCATAGATCAAAGAGACCTAACTCACAAAGCGAATACTGAAATTTAGGCAGGAAGGTGTGCTTACTGAACCACAATTCAAACATCAAATTATAAACAGCTTTCCCTTGAAAATAGGAGAACTTTATTCTAGCTTTACCTCCTCATTACGATAGTCTCCAAGGAAATACTATAACAGATGATTTAGCTCTTGTCTAGGGGACAAAAGGAGGAGATAAATATGAAAGGATTTTAGTAATACATTCAAAACTCACCATTGTAAACACACTGACCACTGGTTTCTTTTCTTTCTTCTCCTTTTTACTGAAAATACAGCAGAATAATTACACAAAACTTTAAAAACTATACAAAACCTTACAATTAATAAATCAATTTACAGAGTTTTGTTAAACAGCAAGATAAAATTCATGTCTATATTAGTCAACAAAAACATAATAGTATGATATTTATGTGTTTACATGTAAATATGTTTGCATATATCTTGGAAATCTATCAGTGTGCTGTTATTGATGAGAATTAGAATTTTTATATAAATACATTCTTTGTACCTTAGATATTTCTTAATTTTTCACATTGTGTATACATACACACATACTTTTTACAATGAGAAAAGCACGCACTAAAAGGAAGGTTTTGCTTTTTTATTCCAATTAAAAAATTATTCATGCTTTTAGTATCGACCACCTTGATTGTCATCTGAGTAATCGTGGTGATAGGCATCCTATCTATAGACTGAATGTTGCTCTTTCCGAATAGAGCACAGTGATGCTCAGATGCTGAACACAACTAGCCTAAGACACAGAGTAATTCAATCAGCCTAGGAGAAAATCTAATTGTGAAAGGTTATCTGCAGCACTAAGTGAACCATTATAGAAAGAAATTCAATCTAGAAAAGATGCTCTGTAAACACTCAAAAAGCTATCCTTGGACATACAGGGTCAATTCTTATTTTGAGCCCAGATGCAAATGATTAACCCATTTTCACTATACATAACCGCCACCTAAGATTAAAGGCAAACTAACCATACCAAGTCTCATTGTTCCTATGTAGCAACACTGTTAGAACAGAAAGCCTTATTTTTACATGAATTTTTAAGTTCAAAAAGTCAATTTGTATGTTTCCTTTGGACCAAATGGCATTTTAAAAAAGTCCAGATTCAATACCATTCACAACCACTCTCCACTTTACGTTTCAGACACTCTCTGAATTTGGCTCTTGCTAATTTGGCTCCACTGGTCACCAACCCTTAGGACCTCAGGCACAGATGGCGCCTGCCTTTTTCAATGTGGGTTTTTGTGGTTAGAACTCAGGTCCTTGTGCTTTCATGGCAAGCGTTTTACAGACGGAACCATCTTCCCAGTGCCAAGAAAAAGCTTTCTAAAGAAAAAGGTCAGAGGTTGCTTGCACTTGGCTTAATGTAGATGGACAACGGATGTACTATACACAAATATCTTCATTTTCGTTAAATGAAGAAGTTTTATTAAACAGACATCTTTGGTTCCACTTCATTCTCAGTGCAGGCTCATTCAGTATCCCAGAATCCACAATATGAAGAGGACAATAACCATAAATGGCAGAGTCTTAGTTCTATGCTTTTTAAGCTCCCATTCTCTAAACTGAGGCTATTTGGAGATGTTATACTAATATCCCAGGCACTAAGTAAGCATTCCCCCATGCAATTTGTAAACAATTCTGAGGAAGGCAAACTTTATCTTTCTTTCAGGGATGAGAAAATTGCAGAAGAGTAAAGTCCCACAGCTGAAACAAAACCCAAGATTTAAACTTCCGAGTCACGGGGATAAGCTCCAAGCTGTAGGATACTTCCTCTGACTTTTAAGATACTGTATGGCTTGAAAATGTACTTTTATACCAATTGTCAGCCCTACTAGATTATTCTCTATCCCATCAGCACAACCGATCTTTACAGAAGTGCCAACCATCATTTTAGAGCACTTGTATAGAATGTTCAGGGCCTTGGTGTTGAATAACAATACCATGAAACAAACAAACAAAAAACCAACACATCATTTTTTTTTGTGAAGAATATATGCAAATGCATATAATTCAGGTAGTACTATTATTAGTCCACCATTTTCTGTCAACAAAAATAATTGCTTCTTTATGATCCTTATAAAACATAAGATTGAGAACAGATTGAAATCGGTGGTGACGAGCAGTTCCATAAGAACTGTTAAACAAACGAACAAACAAATTCTGTTTGATGAAGAACTGTAGGAAAAGATGGCACTAATACCAAAATGAAGATCTATGCAGGACTGGACACCCCCATTCCCTTCCACATGGCCTCATATTTACTCAAATGTCAAGTATTTGTGTATGGATGCAATTCTTTAAACTATTCTCTGTGTAGTCCTGACTGTCCTGGAACTAGTCTGTAGATGAGGCTGGAATTAAAGGCATGCACCACCATGCCCGGCAAACTACTTTTTAAAAAAAAAGGCAAAAGTAGGCTACTTTCCTTCTACTATGTGTCTTCCTTGTTTATTTAAAGTTTTTATTATTGAAATATGAAATAAACAGGAAAGTATAAAGGTTAGTATATAATTCACCTAGATTAATAAATTACTAATATTTGACAATATTTATCCATACAAAGAATATGTTATCAATTGTTAATATTCTGTAGAACTATTAAGCTACAAATATTACAGTATTCATATATTCCACTATCATTATTATACCTAAGAAACTTAACCTTAATTTTGAGATTATTTAAAATCCAACCACAAAGCTCCTAAGTGTGCTTTCTTTCTTCTTTACTGAACTCTGATTTAGTCAGAGCTCACACAACACATTGGTTGGCCATGTTTCTTTAGGATCTCTTAATCTAGAATCCCCCTTTTGTTGTGACACTGGCTTTTCTTAAAGGACAGAAGTGTCCCATGGTTGTGTCTGCTTCAGACCAAGCCCAGACGGAGGTATGTAGTGAGCAATGGTATTTAGAAACCAGGTATGTCACAAAGAGAGCTTATTTCTATTCTACCTTCTGGTGGACTGAAAATGAATTATAATGTCATAAATCAGCACACTTAGATGTGTTCGGTGAGTTCATCAGGCAAGCAAGTTATTGGTCTCAGATGTTATCTGACATTCTAACTTGTGGGTTAATAGAAGCTTGAGATCTGTTCGGTTAATACATACACAGTCATAGGAATGTTAGGTTAGACATAGAGGTAGGACAACAATAAGGGTATTATGGGGACTGAAGACTGCCTATGGTAGTTTATAAGTAGGTTCTAGACTGGCAACATTAATTTGTAGAATTTTGAATGCAAGATACGACTTCTTTCTTTCTGTGCTAATACAATCATTTTATACAGAAACAGCCATTGAGAGATAAACCAAAAGTAATTTTTGCCTTTCTTCCTCTGCCACAAACAGGCGATATCTACGGAGTTGCTTTATCAGAAGCAAGATAATGGACCACAGCAGAGTCCAAGCAGCATGTGGTTCAGATGTATGAGCGATCAACAGTGCTCATAAAACTGAGGTTGTAAAACTAACAAGGTGTGAGCCATGGCTGGCTGGTATAGAGGCTGAACAGGAGCCTCCGAGCCTCGCTCAGTCACACACATCTGAAGGACTGCTCCAAGCAGGCAAATTCCTTCCAGTAGCTGGTTTACGTTTCTGAAGGCTGAAATAACCACTATTCATTTAGTGCGGTGCTGGAGGCTACAAACTAATTGCTCAAATGTACAAGACATGTCAAGTACGAAAGTGAAACAATCTGGCTACCTCTTTTTGCCCATCTTCGAGAAGTTCTTGTCTGCTCCTCCGTTAAGGTCTTCTTCAAGCTCCATCACGACCTGGGGAGAAAACACAGTTCATCAGCCAAATACATGCCCGCGGGGTCCAGAGCCTAGGCTGACCTCACTGCCCCGCGGGGAGCCCAGCGGGGAGCCCAGCGGGGAGGAGGAGCCCCGCCCTGGTGCTCACAGGACCGGGCCTGGAGGTAACTCACCCCGGGGATCCGCGGAGCTCCCGGGTCACCCACGTGGACCGGGTGCTGGGCTCTGGATCCTGCCGGCCCGCCCTGCTCGGAGCTGGGCAGCAGGATCCACAGCGCGGGGCTGGCGCCGAAAACACCAGCTCGGGGACTCCCGGAGCGACTGGGGCTGTCGCCACTTGGTCTCCACGGACTTCCGTGGCCCCTGCCCCCTGGACCAGACTCGGGCATCCCGAGCAGCCGACCCTTCCGGGAAACTGTCCACCTCTCATGTCTGTACCTTCAGCTTTTCTTCACAAAGTCCGCCAAGACGTGGAATTTGGAAGAAGCGACCCCGAGTTTAGCGGAGCTTGGGAAGATGCTGGCAGAAGCTCCTGCAAACCGCTGCTTGACTGAGCCTGGGTTTTCTGAGGACAGGAGAGTACACTTGGTGTGCTCAACCTACGCCCAGGCGAAGTCCCGCCCAGTCAGAGAGCTTGACCAGGAGGTTAAACAGCTCCAGGCCCAGCTTGACTCAAGGATTATTGCAGGAGAAATTGCGAAACAGGTTGGACTTCTAGATGAAACGCACTGTCTGGTTTTCCCTCGCAAAGGTCGAGTTGACAAACTCACATACCCCGAATCATCAGAGACACACTTCTAAGAGTCGCTTTTCTACAAGGCCACACATGCGTCCATATATAGAGTTAGTTGAGTGTGTGTAGATCTGCACTTGGCCTTCTGCACGTGACACATTCTATGCATAACGTCTAATAGTCAATTAAAGAATGGGTGCAGACGCTGCCTAGTTCCCTTCCTTGAAGAGAATCCCTGTGCAGGAGCTTTTCTTTAGTATGTTTCAGTTTCTCAGGTACATCGGCTTATCTCTTTTATTTAAAAAATAAAATAAAACAGATTTCCATTATATAAATTTCCAATTTATAAATGGATCATTTCGGTGTAGAAATGGTATTTAAAAATATGTAGTATTTTGAACTGTTAGCTATCAAAACAATGTCCATGTCCCTCCAGGGCATTTGAGATTCTTACAGTTCAATTTGGATTATTGAACGCAACTTTTAACGCATTACTTTAGTCGCTATTTCTTTCAGTGTTTACATTTTATATTCTTCCTGTGATTTTCTTCAAACCGACCAGAAGTAAATAAATGCAGTCTTCCCAATACAAATTCACAGAGCAGTTTTAAATCCCTTGAGTGCTTCCTTCTTTTGTAAAACATAAGGAAAGTAGTTGTTTGTAACCTCTAATTTGCATTATTTGACTCAAGTCGTCTCTGGACTTGCTGCAAGTGTTGAGAGCAAGCAAAGCCTGCCATTGTTTCTGCAGAATGTGAAAGTGTAACTTCTTCTTTTAATATATTTAAAAGCCATTTCCCCCTTCTACCCAAAAATGCCCTTGCTTTGACTCTTTTAGGAGGGTACATGTTACTGATTTTTTTTAAACTAATATTGTTACAGACTTTCTAATAGGTCACTAGTTTTTTGTTCCTTTTGTTTTTCTCTTTCTAATTGGCTGCGCTCATGGACAGCACCGTAGTCTACCTGGGGCAAATGTACACCCTCAGGTTCATCCTCAGCTCATCCTCAGCATTTCTAGTCTTGGTTATGCTTCTGCTCTGTCTTTACTCTTCCAACTAGAGAGACTGCATCTCTCCTATATTCGGTGCTGTGCACACTTAAGGAACAGTAGTAACTAGCGTTTCTTAAGCACTGGTCATACACGAGAAACTGCACTAAGTGCTTCAGAAGGATAAACTCATTTAATCCTCCCAAGAACTGATGAAGCTGTTGTTGTTATTATTATTATTATTGCTATTCTTAGTTCCCAGTGAAGGAAACAGGTCTACATTATTTGCTAAAAAACCACATAGCTGATAAGCATCAAACCCAGAACTTGGAAGTATTGTAATAACTATCCCTCTTTTCTTTCCTTCCTTATTGTTTTGGTGGGTAGGTGGACAGTGTATCAATATATATATCCAGATTGGCCTTGAACTTTCAATATCACAGCTTTAGTCTCTGGACTTGGATTACAGACATGTACCACAACACTTAACTACACTACACTCTAGAACATGACTATAATACATTTCTACCCTACCTTTTTTAGACCCATGAAACTTTTCACCTTATGGTTCAACTTTAGAAATGCTGCAGTGGCCCTCTGCCATCAACTACATTCCATCTTAGAATTTATTAGGTTTTAAGGATTGTAACATAGTATTCTCTCTACTCTTCTATTTCACCTCTTCAGACCATCTCCCCCGACACAGGCACGTTCATTTCATTTCAGCCAATTCACTGTACCTCTCAGGTGACTTGCTATTGTCTTTTTCCACCCTGTGTTTTCTTACATGTAAATCTTTCTGTGTTGAAGGCTTGGACCCAATACAGTAGGATTTAGAGGTTGGGCTTTGGGAACTGGTTGGATCATGGAGCTCTGACCGAATCCACTGAAGGATTCCTACTCTGCTGGACTATTGGGATTTAACTGGAATTTGGAAGGTGGGACTTAGTTCCAGGGAGGTCCTTGGTGGTCTGTCCTCAGAAATTATGCTCTGTCCTAGACTCCCCTCACTGCCCCCCTTGTTTCCTAACTGCCATGATGTGAACACCGGTGCTGTACCATGTAGTCCCAGCCATGGTGTCCACTTCTGCCTAGCCTGTGGACTGACATCTCTGAAATCATGTATCAAAATAAACCTTTTCTCCTTTGACTGCTTCTCTGAGATAGTTCATCACAATGATGGAAAACTAACACGCATTCTCTCAAGATTTCTAATTATTCAAGTTCTGCTCATGGCCCTCTTGTAAATTGTGTCTCTTTCCTTGATTTCTGTAGAAATAAATTTCTTCTTCTCCTAGCTCTTCTGTTTATCTACTTTGAGTCTAAATTTAATATATCCTGAAAGAGGAGCAATATTCACCTTGATGAACTTATTTGACTTGAGACAGAAAGACTATCATAGGATCCCAGTGCAAAGTAAATGATTTACTTCTGCTAACAATAAAGGATGCACAATGTTACAGTGTCCACCCATTTATGTGTAACTGATTTTTATGTGTGAAAGACATATGACTAAGTGACAAGGACATGGGATGACTGTACCCCAACTCACATTACCTCTAGACTGCTTCTTAAAGTCCTGCATTAGAACAATGCAAACTCTTGGCTGGGCAAAGGCTCTTTCCATCAAAGCTGAGAAAGTGAGTGGAACTCCCAGAACACACATGATGAAGAAGAGAACAACTCCAGCCCATTACCTTTGACCTCTGTACGCATGCTCACAAACAAACAAATAAATATAATTTTTTATTTTAAAAAGCTAAACTTTTAAATTTGGTAATTTCCAAAGATGTTGTCCTGTTGTCTTTTAGCCTATAATGTAACAGTCACAGCTCAAGTAGAATGGTGGTCACAATAAAGTAACTCAATGTAAAATTAAGTGATTTATTAATGTACTCTGGGCAGAGACAATTTCTACCCTTCACCTACTCCTAATTAGCCTTGATTTTAACTTGATAATTACCAGTATTTTACCTGAGGATGGATTGTTTGTTATTTGTGGTTCACATAAAGATTACATATCTTCTTATTAAAAAATACCCTTGCTTAGGTATTAGTTAACAACAGCTTACTGAAGTTGGACTAGTAGATTAGCTGCTTGAGTTATCTTTAGCATGTTTAGGGATTCCTTTGTCACAAGACATCTCCTCTAAGATTCTCTAGGATTATCTTTCAAACTCCATTAGAAAAATCACCCCTCTGAGGAAGGCCCTGTCTTCTAAACCTACTATAAGACTTTTAAGAGATTGATAGAAAAAAGGAGTAAGTTCGAGTTACTCAGCCTCTCAAAGCATGGATTTCAACATTGTTAAATCAGAGACAACACAAGGATCTATGTCTTCAAGAAACAAATAGGGCAAGTTTTAGAAATGTTCAATATAAAGCATGTTATTAGCTATACTTCCTAACAAAGATGGCCAATGGCTAGACACCAAGGCAAGAGTAAAGCTTAAAAACTCAAGCACAAAGTTGTAATGACTGAAAGGGGGTAGTGAAGGATACTGAAAGTAAATATGATGTGAAAATAATTATAAATAATTGTTTTATATCATAAACACAGAAGCCTTTTTATTTTAAATGCAACAAAAAGTTAAATACATATTTGTTTAAATTATTACAGAAGAGCTATGTTTTAATATGTAAAGAAACTCATATAAATGGATAAGAATAATACAAAGGCTCAAATATAGCTGGGGAAAATTAAAAAGTAGACAATGCATATAAGAGGAAATAGTACACTAGAATTAAAAAGTGGAATATTGAAATATTCATGATAGCTACAAAGAAACACAAATTAAAGCACAAATGTATTTTGGAAAAGTGTGGCCATAAACTGTTCATTAGGGTAAAGTAAACTAAGTAAAGTATTAAAATGAATAAAGAAACAATGTGGCCATATATATCTTAAATATATTTGATCCAATAATTCAATTTGGGAAATATATCTTAAGTGATAAAAAGCAAAAGATTAGGGATAAGGATCAAATATATCCATTCCTGCCTTATTTTCTTCTGATAAAAAGTGGCATAAATGTTTACCCACATATGCATGGCTGGGAAAATAACAAAAGTCTCTCTTTTAATCTTTATTCTTTCATGACGTATGTGGATGAGTGTATGGTGTCTGTGGAAGAGCGCGTGTGTGCACGGAAGGCAGAGGGCACTTGTGCTGCTGGTTTTCTCTGACAAACTTTACGGAGACTCTGGGGAGTGAAGTCCTGTTGCCCAGCTGGCATGGCAAGCGTCCTGACGTGTTGAACCTTCTTGCCTTCCTGTGATACAGGCTCTTAAAGA